CTTTCCCTTTCTGGGAGCCCTCTATCCATGCCTTGGCTAGGCATCAGGGAGGGAGAGGGGGGTGCATCTCAGTGCTGAGCATATTTTATTTTTATTTGATTTCTTATTTGTTGTGATGTCAGTGCACTTTTTGTGATGTCAGTGCACATGTGTGGGGCTTTGGGGGCCCCCCACTTTCCCCAGGGCCCCCCCACTAAAAATGTCCTAGCTACGGGCCTGCACCCAGGCAGAAGATACAGTACTTGTGACCGTCCGGTGGAGCCAATTTACTACCGCAGCTGCGGCAGAGATTAAAAAATCCCCACTTCTTCGATTTTTTAGTCTTTCTCTCCATAGACTAAGAGGCGTTGAAGAACCTTAGCGGTAAGGAGAGCGTGGGGGGGGAACTAATCGCTAAAAAGCGACAAAAAACAGTGATCCAACCAGACCTCTCGAAGGAAGGGTCTGCTCAGCGCGACGGTAAGGAAAGAACTGGCGGGATGTCCGTGCCCGCCCCTCTGGGCATGCGCACTGGGGCTCCTGCGCATGCCCAGAGGGACTGGGCACGAAAATCCTTTTTAAAGAGCTTGCTACAGCACCGGCAGATCCAGCGCAGGTGCACTAGATCCCATTGGTGTGAAGCACAGAGACCACAAAGAAGATCACCTGAGTCAAGTAGTGGAAGATCCACAATGTCCAGCTAGCCAGCACAAGTCTCCTGCCTTGTATTTTTGTTCTTCTTTTCTCCAAGCTGCTTCACGCCCCGTCTGTCATGCCGGGATCCCCCCTTCAAGCGTGTCTTATCTGCAAAAGCAAGGAGGAAATGAACGGGCCACAGTGGCGGATGAAACATGCCCCGACTGATGGTGCAAGGCTCAGCTAAAAGTTCCTCACATGTTTCGCCAACAGGCTTCTTCAGGGTTGCTTCAAACATCAAATTGCAATTCATTCAGTGCAATATCAACTAGATACAAAACCAGGACATATAACTGCTAGACCTCATTCTGCCCTTGTGACTGCATTCTTTTAAAGTTAAGTCAGACCTGTTGGGTCCTGCACAGCCTCTCTGACGTCCTGGGAGGTTTTTCTCTCTCTCTCTCCTGTTTTCCTTCATGCAATTATAAGGTCATACCTCCTGGTTTTGTATCTGGTTGATATTACACTGAATGAATTACACTGAATGAATTGCGATTTGATTTTTAAAACAATGTTTTATTTATTTACATAATTTTAACTCAATAACCGTTGCTATACAATTATGAGAACTCAGTATTGTATTGGCGTATTATATTACAGATTCCCTTGAAGAAGCCTGTTGGCAAAATGTGTAGGATCTTTTAGCTGAACAATGCCTATTTCTTTTTCTGCTTTACTTGCACCTTTGGCCTTAGCCTTATTTTTTACGCCTTGTCTGCATAAGTGACAGAGCACCACCACTGCCCCGTAGTGAGCACAGATGGAGCGTGTTGCCACCCAGTGGGCAGCATGTCGGCGTCCTGTTCTGTCACTTGCTTCCCTGGCCTACCATTTTTAGCAGGGCTCCGAAGTCTCTTGTGGAGTATTGCCTGCCCCTGCCAGAGAGAATACTGCACTGTAGACCTGAACAAACAGCTGGGCTAGTTTCTGCCTTCTATTGCTAGAGGACTTGGATTCGTACTCTCTTGGATCTAAATAAAGATCTGCAGGCAGGAGCGTTACCCAGAAATCTGCTTGTTGTGGTTCCAGCATTTGTTGGCTGAACTCACCACTGCTACCCTGGAGGCGCTTCAAAGATTTGGGTTCCTCTGAACTCCACTTCCTTCTGCCCTCCAGACGGAGACTAACTGCCACACCCACACCCTGCTCCAGCCTGCTTCCTCCTCTGGTGGTTGTCGCTCAGTCTCATACATGTTCTGGAAAATTCAGCAGTCTCCTCCTCCCTTCTCAGAAAGCCCAGAAGTGGCTAGATGCCCCACCTGGAGGAGGGATGCCCTTCCCCTGGTGTATCCTGTGAAGGGTGGGGGGTCAGCTCCTGACCTCCTTCCAGCCTGAGGGGGAGGCATGTGCCGTGTGGCTGGGGCCCAGGCTTCAGTGACCAGCAGAGGGTGCCTTCCGTCTTGCCCGCTTGTGCCCAGCCTTGGGTGTCACTTTCCCTGGGATGCCGCCTAGATGCATTACAGCACATGCACTCCTACCCAGCTTCCTTTCTGGGCATCACTGGCTGGCATGAGACCACTGCAGGAGAAGGGGCTGGCAGCCGTTCTGGCAGACGCCAAGCCTTGATCAGGGAATTGCTGTTTGTCTGCCACGCGGGCCAATGAACTCGAGGATCTGGGCTTCCGGCGCGTTTGGCTCCTCGGAGCAGATGCCTGGCAAAGGTGGCCTGCAGCATTCTGTTGCGGACAGCAGGTGTTCACAGGCAGGGGCCTAGGGGTAGGCTCAGGGGGCGCCAGGCCCGTACCCGGCGAGAAGCAGGTTTTCAGCAGCAGGAAGCAGCTGGTTGGCCCTCGAGGGGAGAGTGGAAAACAAATGCCGATGCTGCTGGATGGTAATGGGATTTTAGATGGACTGGGAGGCGTGGGAGGAGGAAGGAGGTGTCCAGTGTTTAAACAGCTCCAAGGCGATGCTTTTGACAGGATGCTGGTGTCCTGACTCATGGACGGAGTGGGCTGGCCTGGGCTGTGTCATCCCCCTAGGGTGCTGCCAGAAGAGTCAGCTGCCTTTCGGCCACACCTGCTGGCCAGCAGGTTGCCAGGCTGGGCGGTAGCTGGAGGCTTCTGCAGGCCTCCCTGGGGTCTTCTGGGCAGGGCCGGCACAGCAGGGCCATGGAAGGTGGACGTCCTGCGATCAAGAGCTTAAGCCCTGGCAGCTGTCCAAGGCCTCACAAATCTTGTGAGCACATCCCTCTGGTGTCACCGTTTGCATAAATGGTCAGTTTTCTTCTCAGAGAAGATGATTCTCACGAGCAGCTCTAGGTGCTGTGTCTGCCAAGGCGGATAGTTTAATATTATAAAGGTCAAAATACATGTTATCCTGTGAAAGCAACCGTGAGTTGGGATCATGAGAAACTGGCCTGGGCCTTGACCCGGCATTCTGACCAGCCCCTTTTAGCCCAATGACACTTATTCCTTCCTTTCCCTTTCTTTAGGCGGCTCTCCCTATCTCGCAACAAAAATCAACGAAGCAAAAGACCTGCTGGAATCAAGCAGTAAACATTAGGGCCCCGGGATTTTTGTGCCACAAGAAATATCATGTGTGCTACATTGGAGAAACTTCAAATGCTGTTGCTTCTTGTATTTCTGTATTTCTGTATTAGTTTCGTCAAGAAAGTCCTCTAAGCACTTGAAAATACCATTCCAAGTATTTAATAATAAAAGTGAGATCCTTAACATATAATTCATCTGAGCCATTCCTGCAAATATATACATTACATAGTTATTACACTTGAAGTGTAACAACAGTATGGCCTTTTTCATAGTGTGAACAAAAGGACTGATGTTTTACACATTTCTCTGGAAACCAAAATGCATAAACCTTCCGTTATGCCTCTGAGGACGCCGCACGGCCGTGTGCCAGAAGAGCCGTGGGGTGGGGTGGGGTGGGGTGGGGGGGCTGGCTCCAGTCCTTTCCTTCTTTGTGCACGCCCCTCTGCCCGGCTCATGGAGGAAGTAGGTCTACCACCCTGAACTCCCTGCAGGCAGAAGCAGACTACGTCACGTGAAGGGGGCCTTGTACTGAACCAGGGCCTTGGTCTATCAAGATCAGTAGCATCTGCTCAGACTGGCCGAGGCTCTCCAGGGTCTCAGGTGGAGGCCCTTCATGTCACCTGCTGCCCGGTCCTTTGATCTGGAGATGCTGAGGATTGAACCTGAGATCTTCTGCACGCTAAGCAGATGCTCTGCCTATGAGCCACGGCCCCTCTGCATTATTATTCCAAGAAGTTTTTAATAGGTAAAACTGAAGGCAATTGGATTATTTTAACCTTTGTCTCCGAGAGGCCCAGGAGACCTTGTGCCTGTGGTGAACACACCCGCCTGCCTCCCTGCCTCATGCTGTCTTCAGACCCAAAAGGTCCAGTTTATGTCCTCCTTGAGTTCCAAAACCCACCCCTGTCCCTAAGCTGTGGGAAACCGCTTCTCTCCCACTCTGAGTGAGTCAGGCTTTGCCGCCAGCCTGCCAGCTCCCCGCGTCTGCTTCCTCCCGGAGGCAGGCAGGCCGTCTTCCAGCCCCCCACCTCTGCTTTGGCTCCCCAGGCCTGTTCTCAGCAGACGACGGGCCTCCAGTTGCCCCACTGCCGGCCCACATGAAGCTGCCTCCCACGGGATCGATCAGACCACCAGCCGCCCTGCCAAGGTCAGCGTTTCCTGCGGAGGCTGGCAGTGCGCGGTGGCCCTGTGCTCTCCTCGGTGCCCCTGGGACTGTCACGCGCACGGGCGCCCCAAAGCCTTCCTACAAGGTCACAGTTTACTTTCCACCTCAGGTATTCTCTGTAGTCTTTCCTCTGTTAGGCTTTAAAAGGATGTCATTTCTTTGGGTACGTACGGAATGATTTTTATCAAAACATCTATAAATAATCTTTATTTTTATTTTGATGAGCTATAAATGCAACTGTAGGGTTTGGCTGTTTTGTTTCTTAGACTTTACTGCCATAGCAGGGCCTTTAAAAGAATGTCTGCAGATCTTTTAATGTTCATTGAAGATTTGATTTACTTTCACTAATGAGGCAGGTATGAGCAGGAAAAGTGAAATCTCTGTCCTAAGTGGAATCCGTATGCGATCTGGCTTTCTGCCAAAAAGCAAAATTGCTCCAGTAGGCAGTGGAAGTGTTCCTTCCAATGATTTTATGAGGGGATGCGAGCTGCTGTTCCTATACAAATGCCCATCCCTGTTGCTGAGGGAAAGAATTTATTTAAAAAGGACATAAAACCCTAAGAGAAACATAAATACATGTAAAAACTGTTCGTATGGCTTTGTACTCTAAATTAAATCCCCCCATTGTTGATGTGGTTACTTCTTGGCTCTTGGGTGATTTTTACATTCTTGCACCAAACTTAACTCTGTCTGTTCATCCTGCTATGCAGATATAGTTTTGTTGCCTTCCTGTTGAAGACCAGGGAAAAGCTTTATCTCCACATTCCACACACAGTCCCAGAGCAACATCGAGGGAAGGCCTCGGCCTCTCTGCCCTGTCGCTGGCCCTCCAGAGGAACTGCTTGTGGAAACGATGTACGTAGGAGTGAAGATTATGGATGGAAGTCTTCCTAAGTGGAAAAACTGTGATCTGACAAAAAGGAGGAAGTGATGATGTCTTGGAACCATCTGGGTCAAAACTACCACTTTGGCTTCCTGGAATTGTCCCTGGTGGGCTGCAGCCCTTTTGTGTTCACTTGTATGGCCCAGACAGAAAGGAGGATTTCTCTGTAGGGCTTAATTAATAATTCTTTGGTAGTATGGATCTCCCTTATGGATCGGTGCCTTGATGTGGCGAGGGGGCTTGCGTGGTTTCTCCAGTGGCTGCCCTGGCTGCTCCGAACTCTCAGCCTGAGAGACTTGCAGGTGCTGGCTTTATAGGATCATAGAGTTGGAAGGGACCTCCAGGTCATCTAGTCCAACCCCATGCACAATGCAGGGAATTCACAAATACCCCCCACATCCTCAGTAACCCTTCCTCTATGCCCAGAAGTGGGGGGAAACCTCCAGGATCACCGGCCTGGAGAAAAATTGCTTCCTGACCCCAAATTGGCCATCAGCATTTCCCTGGGTGCATAAGTAAGGGCCACGAGAAGTAAGCACTGAGGCAACCCTTCCTGCCCTCCCCTTCTCGTGATCTGCCTACGTTCACAGAATCCGCATTGCTTTCAGATGGCCATCTAGCCTCTGTTTGAAAACCTCCAAAGAAGGAGAGCCCACCACTGCCTGAGGAAGCCTTTAACCGCTCTGTCAGGAAGTATTTCCTAATGATTAGCCGAAAACTCTTCTGATTTAATTTCAACCCATTAGTTCCGGTCCCACCTTCTGGGGCAACAGAAAACAACTCCACACCACCCTCTATATGACAGCCCTTCAAGTACTTGAAGGTAGTTATCATTTCACCTCTCAGTCGTCTCCTCTCCAGGCTAAACTTACCCAGCTCCTTCAACCTTTCCTCATAGGACGGTCTCCAGACCCCTCACCATCTTCATTGCGCTCCTTTGGACACGTTCCAGCTTGTCTATATCTTTCTTAAATTGTGGTGCCCAAAACTGAACACAAGGTCTAACCAGAGCAGAGTAAAGCAATACCATCACTTTGCTTGATCTGGACACTATACTTCTGTTGATACAGCCCAGAATTGCATTAAAGAGATGGGAGTACCAGACCTCACATGTCTCCTGAGAAACCTGTATAGGGTCAAGAAGCGACAGTTAGAACTGGATGTGGAACAACTGATTGGCTTAGAATAGGAAAAGAAGTGCGACAAAGATGTATATTGTCACTCTGCTTATTTAATTTATTTCCTTAGTCCTAACAAAAGCTCTTGAACCCACAGCATCATATCTCTAATAAAGCATTACACTGCCTATAGTGTGTGTGGAGAGTGTATTAGCTGGGAACCTGACAGATTGTGAGGACTACCATTTATCTCTCCCCCCGACCCCAACCTATGACGGCATGGGGAACGGAGATGGAGACAGTGGGTGAGTGCGAGTACCAGGTCTTTACCTGAGATTCCTGCGCAAGACCCCGCGAAGAAGAAAGACAGCAAGGCCACTGGTGCTAGGCCTAAAAAGCATGTTCTCTTCCATCATCCTAAGAGACGCAACAGCCCTGATCACTGGGATGATCCAGCCTGGTTGGCAAGTACCCCAGGGTTCTGCGGTACCCGGGGGAAGGCTGATCACAAGAAGCAGTGTGTTTCCCCTACCTGACCCGGAGCTGGGCAAGATACAAGAGGAATGGGAAGACGAGCCGGCAATGGAGAGGGACCAGTCCACCCTCAAAGCCGATGTAAAAGAGCTCAAGGAAGACCATCAAGGAGCTGATGGAAAAAGAGGAATTGGAAGAGTCCGAAGAAGAGGAGAAGAGTGAGAGCAAACCTGAGAGGGCCCCACCCCCTCCTCGGAGACCTGAGGGAGAGCGAGACCAGCCCCAGGATGCTTTAGAGGCCACGTTTGATGGCAGCCCAGGGAAACTAGCATTCTTTGCGACTCAGGTATGAAAGATGCTGCGCGAGTGGGGGCACACCTTTGCCTCTGATGAGCAACATGTGGATTATGTGGGCATCCGGCTTCAGGAGCGGGCAGCCGACTGGTTCGTGGGGCTTTGCAGCGTTGCAGCCCCAGAGCTTTGGGATGTGGACATCTTCATGCAAGCACTGCACCACCAGTTCGAGGACCCGCTAGAACTGGAGAAGGCATGTACGCACCTCTGAGGCCTGTGCCAAGGAGCTCGGTCCATGCAGGACTACTCCAATGAGTTCAAACCTATTGCAGCCAAGCTCCAAGGAAGAAAAAGAAGAGATTGGATTTATACCCCACCCTTCACTACCCAAAGGTGTCTCAAAGCGGCTTACAAACTCCTTTCCCTCCCCCTCCCCACAACAGATACCCTGTGAGGTGGGTGGGGCTGAGAGAGCTCTGACAGAAATGGCTCTTTTTCAAGAACAGCTCTTATCAGAACTATGGCTGGCCCAAGGTCATCCAGCAGGTGCAAGTGGAAGAGTGGGGAATCAAACCTGGTTCTTCCAGATTAGAGTCCGCATACTTAACCACTATACCAAACTGTCTCTCAAGGCTGGCCAGAAGAGGTCCTGATCGAGTTCTACCAGGCTGGCCTGAACACCATCATCTTGGAGAAGGCGCTGGCTCAAGACAACCCCTCAACCTTAGCAGGTTGGATCCAGGTGGCCTGCGAGGCTGAGAACCGGCATAACCCCACGCAGTGCCATGGGGTAGAGGACCACTACCTGGAGGGGACCAAGAACATGGGCTGAAGAAGGGGCTGTGCCTCTGCTGCGGGAAAGCCGGGCACTTCGCCGCATACTTGAACTGCCCCAGAGTAGTGTTAAACGCAGTCTTGTAGTTATGCGCACCCTGAAGTAAGGATCTCTCAAATCCAGCTTTGTGAAGATTTTCCCTTTGGACGCTTCTGCTAGCAAGTTTTTAGTCAGAGGCAAGGGGTATGCATTGGACATGGCTCAAGGCATAAAGCTTCCCTTTGGGCATTTTGTGCCCTGGCAGTATTTCTATAGCGCAATCAGTTTTGCGGAGGAGGGGAAGCTCATTGGCTTCTTGCTCCTCAAACACACGGCCCAAGTCTCTATACCCTGGTGGGATAGCATTCAGTTCCTCTCTTGCCAAGCAAACTCACTCGGGTGCTGGGCATGGTTCTTCACCCCACACCAAGTTCCATTGATACTCCTTGACTGCTTTATACGACAATCACCTCTATGCCAAGTTGTCAAAGTGCGAGTTTCATAAGTCAGAAATAGACTTCCTGGGCTACCGCATTACACAGCAGGGGTTGGGAATGGACCCCCAGAGAGTGCAAGATGTGGTGGGGTGGGAGCCTGTATGCACACG